GAATAAAAGTTAAGTCTGCTCTCAGATTTACAGATATGCATATGTAGTCACATTTTTTAAAGTTGATTCATTATTATTGGAATTTGGATGATCTAGGTACACAGCAGAAGCAAAGAAACAAAAATCCCCCTTTGTTTGAGATATTTTCCTCCTTTCATTTTTTTAAATTTATTTTTATGTATATGAGTGTTTTGCCTGCATGTATGTCTGTGTACCATGTGTGCGCCTGATGCCCAGGACAGCTAGAAGAGGATGTCAAATCCACTGAGACTAGCTGCCATGTGAGAGCTGGGAATGAAACCTGGGTCCTCTGGAAAGCAGTCAGGACTTTTTCTCCAGCCCCTCTCCTTGCTCAACTTAATATTACATATATAAACTACTCCAGACTAGGTAAGTTTGACTTTTCTGGTTTCTGTCTTGCAACTTTATAAAATAGTACTTGAATGTAGCAATCTTAACCAACTGTCAGGAAGAGCAGTTTCATTATTCTCTTGTAACAACTTTGTAACCCCTGATTTCCTATCAACACCTTGAGGTCTGGAAAATAAAAGGTGAAGGAAGTGAGCTGGTCCACAAAAACAATCGAGGTATACATTGTTACAACCAAAGAAAGGCATACTAAAGTAATTGTCTCAGGAAACCAGAGGTGATGTTTTGTATCTTCCCAACCAAATGCCGTGGGGTGTACTGATTGACTTTTGAGATCTTTGTGATGACCTGATTCTGTATCAATTCACCGATTACGCGTATCCACATGTGACAAAATGGCTTGAAAACCATTGGACATTGTGCCATGTCCCAGGGTCAGCTTCCTGCTTTTGAAGTCACTCTTTGGTGGCCTTCAGTGTACAGAATCTGGGCGAGGGTTGCATGGAACCTCTCTACTGTTTTTACAAGTTTCCGAGAAACCACAATTCACAATAAAACGTTTAAAAAGTGATATTTAAAGCTTCCAATTAAAATTAAACGCATATACATTAAAACAAAATTGTCTTAACTTTTTTCCTGTACTATGGTCATATTAAAATCCTCAAGTGAGATCACATTAGCTGTTCCATGTGTAATGGGATATTTAGAACCCCGTTCTCTTTGGCTGAAAATTTTACTGGGAGAGCATCTTAAGGAAATTTTCCACCCTCTCATACCTTCCTAATAATAGAGAAGTATCTTCCCCATTTGTCTTCTTAGTGTAGAATCTCTACAAGGATATTCAAAGACTCTGAGCTTATACTTATAAAAAATATATTGCTAACTATTTCCTATCTCCCATCTTCTTCCTCCGCTGCATTTACCTGGCCAAGGACAGCTCTGGTTGGCGTTCAGCAGCTATCTACTCTCGGCCTGCACCTGAGCATGGCTGGCATTTAATGCCGAAATGTAGAATCCGGCTCCTTTTCAAGTTCAGGACCATACATCCAAGACAGACTTCTGCTGCCTGCCTCACAATTCCAGTTTGTGCTCTTCAAAGTCATGGTCATAGCCAAGTGTGGTGGCACATATAAACTCAACACTTCCAAGGTGGAGGCAAAGGGATCAGGGGTAGAAGGTCATTCTCAGTTATAAAACAAATTTGAGGCCAGCCCAGGCTCCAGGAGACCTGGTCTCAAAATCTCAAAAGAAGTAAGCAAACAAAAACCCCAAATCACCATCATGCTTTGTGTTTTTTCTCGGAATATTCTTAGGCCACCTCCTTTACATTCTCATCAGATGAGCTTACCCTGTGCTTCATTGGGAATAGAAGCAATTAGATTATCCTCTTCCCGTCAACCTGCCACGGTCAGTATCCACAGTCACCTCTCTTTCCACAAAGCACCCTTGCATATATCAGTATCCTCACCTCCTACTCACCCTCAATGCCTTCATCGAAGCGTCTGTTAATGGAATTGTTCATCAAAATTTTCCTGGCCGCCATCTTGCCAATAATCTTACTAAGATTTTTTTTTCAGACTTATTCTTATTTATGTGTATGTATCTGTGTGCCACATATATGTGGATTCCCACAGAGGCCAGGAGGGGCGTTCAGATCTCCTGGGCTGGAGTTAATGACAGTTGTTAGTCACTAGACGTAGGAGCTGGGAAGTGAACTCAGGATCTCTGCGAGAGAAGCAAGTGCTCTTGGGCACTGAATCATTCAGCCCCCTAAAGTCCTTAGCTGAATGCATAGTTCCACTCTGTACACTTGGCCACTCTTCCCAGTTGCTTTCCTGAGTCATACTAAGGGTATTTTATGTGTCCTTTGACTGGGTTTGGGGGTACCCAGGAAATGGTTCAAGCATTTTGGCTGTTCCTGTAAGGACAGTTTTTAGCTGTGATTAACATTTAAATCTGTAGACAACACTATAGTTAAAGCAGGTTTCTCTCTGGTGTGGGTAGACCTCAGCCAATTCGCTGAAGGCCTGAATGGAACAAAGGCATTCACGGAATCCTTAGCATATGCTACACATATTCTAGGGGCGAGACAAGACAGCAGACAAAACACCGTCTTTTAGTCTGTCAAGACGGGACAATTCTCAAAGAAATAGCGCCTTGCAATGTGCTCGAGTGAAAATCAGCAGATCATGTGATTGGGGTCGCTAGCAAGCTGTCTTGTAGACAGCAGGACAGAAAAATCCAGTGACAGCTCTGTTAAGCCACTTTCTTGCTGCCTGCTGGAATTTTTACCTAATTCTTGGGATTCAGTTCACTTGCTAAAGATGCCTATGATAATAATAGAACCTTGTCTCCTTGGGTTCTGAGAATGTGTACTGAATATCAAGTGTCGGTGGCTGCCACACGGAAGAACACTGAGTACCTTTTTCCTATTTAAATGCAGAGCTTGCATATGGCTTCTGCAAGAAAGAACCATTTAAGCTGAGATCTAAAAGATGAAAAGGATCCAGCCTTGTGCAGTGGGTTGAGGACGAACATTGCAGTCACAGGACGGCCCACACAGTGATGCTGCCCCTAAGGGAGGTGAGTGGTCACGTGGGACCTCGTAGACCTGCCTAGGGATTTGGATTTTATTCAAGTGGGGCACGAAGGTAATTTGGAGTGTGACATGATGAGAGTTGGTCCAGTCTTGTTAAGATCTCTAAAAGGATCTCATCATAGCAAGCTGGAGGATGGGCTTCCAGGTAAGCAAGAGAGAGGCCCGGTTAGCAGGAGGGCCGGTTAGGAAGTTTAAAAACTCTGCCGGGATATTTGGGGGTTTTTCTTTGTTTTATTGGGGGGGGTTGTTTGGGGTTTCAGTTTGGTGTATGTGAGTGCGCTTGCCTGTGTGTGGGATGTGGGGTGTGGGATGTGGGGTGTGGGATGTGGGGTGAACGTAACAGGAAGCCTTCAGATGCCCTGGTCTTAGTCCCTTGAAACAGGAGGCTCTCACTGCACCCGGCACTCACCATTTTGTGTTGTGATTTGGTGAGGCTGGCCGCCAGCAAGCCCCAACCAACACCCTTCTGTTCCCACCCCCCTCCCAGCACTGGGGCTGTGGAAGCATACAGCTATTCCTGGACTGGGGTGGTGGAGATTAGAACTCAGGTCCTCACACCGACTATGTCATCTCCTAGACCTTATCTTGATTTTTAAAACACCATGTGCTTTTTAAGAATTGTTTATAATTATATTTGTGTGCCGTGTGCTTCGTGCATGTGCAGAGATCAGAGGACAAATGATGGGGTTGGTTTTCTCCTTTTATCGTGTGAGTACTGGGGATGGAACTCAAGTCTTCAGGCTTGAAGGCAGGTGCCTTGGCCAGCTGAGCCACCTCGACACCCCTCATAGGTTCTTCTTGGTTATTTTGTTTCCATTTACTGATAATTAAAGTCATAGCGTGCTTACTCCAGTATCTTTCTATTGAATTTCTGAAAGAACTGTGTTACAAACCTTGTTCCTGCTAGGCATGTGGCACACACCTTTAATCCTGTCACTTGAGGCAGGGGCAGGCAGATCTCTGTGAGCTCCAGGCCAGCCAGGAACCTGGTTCAAGAAAAGCAAACAAACCAGCAAGCAAACAACCTCAAAACAATCATTCCCTAACAATCTCCACCAATTTAAGTTTTGTTTACTCTCTTTTAAAGCTTGGAACAACATAGCAGTGTGTGTTTCTATATTTTAATTCCCTGGAGTAAAAATTTATGAAATCACTGAAATTCTCTAATTGCTGCATAATTGACTCTAAAAGTTAATAATAGCCTTTTTATTCACATACTCTTTTATATTCAATTTCACTTATTTTTATGTGGGGATATTTTTCCTCCATGGTGCTGTAATGAAGACCCAGGGTCTACTGTACACTATGCAAGCCTCTAGCCAAACTACATATTCTACCCCTTCCTGTGGATTTTTATAAACGTCTTCCCTGTATTTTATATTTAGCAGTCGTTGTACTAACACACCGACTTTATATGTATTAGTGTAATTATGAGTTAAACAGGCATAGAGAATACTTAGTCTCGGGCTTCAGAACTTGGTATGCATCCAGCCATTCAATGCCTCTCTCTCTCTCTCTCCCTTCATCTTTTGGGCGACAATCTCACCGTGCTGAAGAACACGCTCTTTGTATAGTCCCACTAGATGTTAGCCAAAAGCCTGAACGCAATGTCCCATATATGCAGTTCCCTCCCAGAGACTCCCATTAATGAAGCTAAAAGCTAGCATTGAAATGGCATTTGCTGTATTCTGTAGAACTGTTCTGAAAATTTCACATATTCTAAAGCAGGAGTGAGGACTAATTGTGTTCAAATTAGTGTTTTTTTTTTTTCAGTTCTGAAATGAACACGTCTAGAGTCTCGTTGCTGAGGCTTGTTCTACACATTTCAGCATACAGGGTCCCTCATAGCTCTGGCAGCGCCACTGTTCCCTTCATCATGAGCACCAGCTAGGCTGGCTGCTCAGAGACTTGCTACTTGGTTCTTCTTTGTTGTAGCTTTTGCCAGACACTGTCTTATTGTGTCTCCCAGGCTGATCTTGGACTCGTGGCCTCCCCAGAGCTGGGTTTGCAGGATATACCACCATATCACTTTTCTGATCTTTAGTTATAGCTGTTTAATACTTTGGCTTGAGGGTCTTAAAAGTACGGAAGTGAATTCCATTTGACTACATTGGATTGGAAGGTCTGGGAGTCGTTGATATCCTATGGAATGAAAGAGAACAAGAGCATTAGGTGAAGCTGTATCACGTCACTTCTGCATCTCAGTGATCAAAATACATAAGAGGACAATCTTAAGGAAGGCTTAATTAGCTCACAGATTCAGAGGGTTCAGTCTACGCTTGCTCAGTTAGTTCCATGCACTTGGACAAAACATTCTGGCAACTGGAGCTCCGGACGGAAGACCATCTTTACTTCTTGGCTGACAGGAAGCAGAAAGGGAGGGGAAGGGAAGGAGAGACACAGGAAGGGAAGGAAGGAGAGGGGAGAAAAGGAGAGGCATAGATAAGGTTCCCCTGGGGGTCCACCCCAGTGACGCGCTTTATCTAGCCCCCACCACCTAACGTATTCAGAACTCTCTAGAATAGTGCCAATAGCTGAGGACTCAGCAGTCAGCAATGAGCTGGTTGCTCATTAATTTTCAGGGCTGTATTTCTCAAACACGGCTGCACAATTGAATCACGTGGTAAGGTTTACAACTAACACGAATACCTGAGTCTCACCTCCAAAGACTCTGACATAATGATCCCAACCAGGAACTCAAAGGACTCTTTTTTTTTATTTTTTATTTTTCAAAGGACTTTTAAAGCTATTTCTTTCCAGGTGTGATGGTGCACACCTTTAATCCTAGCACTTAGGAGGCATAAGCAGGCAGATCTTAGTGAGTTCAAGGCCAGTCTAGTCTACACAGTGTTCCATGACAGCCAGAGCAACATAGTAAGATCCTGTCTCAAAGAAAAAGAAGGAAATAAACACAAACACTAAAATCAACCTACTGCCTATATTATACAAATTCCAGATTAGAGGTTTGTGAAACCTACAGTAAACAAGTATGTGTTATGTAAGTGTATATAAACAACATTCATCATAACACCATTCAATAGCCCAAAGGAGGAAGCCCCGGTACCCAGCAATAAATAAGTGGGTAGACAAAATGTGGTGTGTACAGTATAGGGAGAGATTGTCTAGCCTTAAAAAGGAAGAGAATTCTGACCCGTGCCACAATATGGACAAACCTTGGCTGAGTGAAATAAGGCAAATCAGAAGAAAATATATGTATGATCCCACTTATAAAAATGAGCATAGTCAAATTCTCAAAGACACGAAGTAGACTAGTTGGGCTAAGGGGGCCTGGGGAGTTGTTGTTTAACGGGTACAGAGTTTTCTAGTTGGACGGCTGAAAACCTCCTGGGAATGGGTAGTGGTAGCATGACATTGTGTATGTATTCAATGCCACAGAATTGTATGCTTATAAATGGTAAAAAGGATACATTTTATATCCATATTATTTATTTGTTTGAGATGAGACAGGGTTTCATGAAACCCGGGCTAGCCTCAAACTCCCTAGGGAGTCAACAATGTCCTTGAACCTCTGCTCCTGCTTCCACTTCCAAAATGCCAGGATTACATATATTTTAACACAAGAAAACACATATGTACACACACACACACACACACACACACACATTGGATAGTTGCAAACTTCCCTTTCCAGCTAGATTCAGAGTATCAGGGAACATAATATAGATGATCTTTTATTTTAGGAGAGACTAGTAGTTTCTTAGTGATAATTGTTTTCCTTATAACATTATTATGTTGTCTTAGTCAGTCTTCTATTGCTGTGGAGAGACACCTTGACCACAGCAACTCTTGTAAAGAAAAACATTTAATCAGGGCTGGCTTACAGTTCAGAGGTTCAGTCCATTATCATCATGGTAGGGAGCATGGCAGTGTGCAGGCAGACACGGTGCTGGAGAAGGAACTGAGAGTTCTACATCTGGATCTGCAGGACCCCCAAAGCCCACCTCCAGTGACATACTTCCTCCATTAAGGCCACACCTACCCCAACAAGGCCATACCCCCTAATCCCTGTCAAGAATTTCACTCCCTAATGACCAAGCATCCAAATATATGAGCCTATAGGGGCATTCCTATTCAAACCACCACACAGGTACTTACTTTTTTTTAAGTTTTATTTCATTTTTAAGTGTGTGTGTGCGTGTGCATGTACATGTGTGTAGGTGCCTGTGAAGGCTAGAAGAGGCCATCAAATCCCCTAAAGCTATAGTTAGAGGTGGTTGTAAACTGCCTAACATGGTACTAGGCACCAAACTGAGGTCCTAAAGCAGAACAGCCATTTCTCATGGTCTCAACTGTTTAGCCATTTCTCCAACCCCAACTTGGACTTTAAAAATTAATTTATTTGTATATTTGTTTGTTTAGGCCTTTTAGAGATAAGATCTCACTTTGTATCCTAAGCTGGCCTTGAACTCATTGTATAGCTCAGGCTGGCCTCAGATCTACAGCAATCATCCTTTCTCGACCATCAGAGTGCTGGGATTGTGAGTATACTGGTATTAAAAGTGCACACCACCACACCCAGTTCCTCAAACCATTTTCAAGGGAAGCAGTACTTACACCTTGCTAAAAAAACTGTTAGCTGCTCTTACACCCTCACACATGTGTAGACAAGTAGGGCCTGGAGCTGAAATCTGCAGAGCTCTGCTGTAAAGACCATTGTGTGTGGAGCCTTTTGAAGCCAAGATTAAAGGTGTTTCAATCCTCCTCACACCTTTGATGCAGATCTGCCTGGAATGCACATGGACAGAAGCAAAACTGAGCCCTCCCGCCACTGGTTCTTCCCTGTTTTGAATGTCCAGTGAGATTTCATGAGCAGCAGCGGCAGCTGTTTGAATTCCCCACTGAGGGGAGGTCGGGAAGAAGAATGGCTTGTCATCATCCCCCAATCACTACTAAAGTGACGAAAGTTATCAAGAGAAGTGTGAGCTGCGTCTGACTTGATGTTTCTAGTGTTCCGAAGAGAAAGATGAATTGAGCTAAAACATCTCTCTTTGGTATCAGATTTTGTGAGGAAAAAAAAATGAGGCAGTTTATGTGTGGTCTTGGCTGATGAAAAGCAACGGATGACATTGTCAAGGGAACCCCTCAGGGACTGTAGTCCTGGAGTTCCGCCATAGCGGATGTTGTTAGCAGCCTTTCCAGGCCTGAGTGTCCTTCACAAAGAACTCTGTGATAAGTTGGTGTTGGACACATATAGGTGTGTCTGCACCAGAAAACAGGGTTCATGAGATCTGCCACATATGCTTCCTTGGCAAGAGTAAGATTGGACCCTCACTGATTCGAGGTGTTCCATACCAGTGCAGCTGCTGTCACAGACTGTATCAACTCCCATGGCTGCTGTAACATGTATGTGCCTTGAAGCAGTATGCATGTATCATTATACACTTCTGGAGGCCTGGAGACCAGGAATCAGAAATCAGTTTCACTGAGCCAACACCAAAGTGTCAACTGGGCCACACCCCCTGGAGGCACTAGGGGACAATGTTTCTTTACCTGTGCCAGCGTCAAAAGCTGCAGTCTTTGCATTTCTTGGTTAGGGTCGCCTTCTTCCGGTTTCAAAGCCAGCAGCGTAGCCCATGGTGCCCGCAGACACATTTTTATCACTGCATTATGCTACCTTCTGTCCTGTGGTCAGATCTTCTTCCCTTCTGTCCTGTGGTCAGATCTCTTTCAGCCTCCTTACAGGTGACCCAAGACAATTGTCCCATCTCGAGCTCCTGAGTGGAACTGTATCTGCAAAGCCCTTTTTGCTGTATAAGGCTCCAGGATTAGAGAGTGGGCCTATTTACACGCCATTATTCAGTCTCCCACTTGAACAAAATGAACAGTTAGCCCTTGCCTAGTAGCCACTGTATTTCAACAGGAAACTTTTTATGATTTGAAGCTATGTATTTCATCCTGTCTGATCAAAGAAACCCATTTTATATTTTCATTTCTAAAAGTACAAGTGCAAAAGAACTTGGTATCTTATTTATCTCTCCAAAACTGTAAAGTAATGCATACACACTGCTTCCAGGCATACACAGACTACATGAGACGTGTGGAATTAGTACTGTTTGTGGCAGGAGCCATGTTGGTATGGCACACCTCCAATCTGTGCAGTTCTAGAGTCTTCTGCTTGCCAAGAAACTGTGTTCTGAGTTTCTTGTAAAAAGGCTTAACATAAATATTTTGATATTTAAAAATTGCTTATTTTATTTCATGGTATGACTGTTTTGCCTACAAGTATATATGTGTAGTATGTAGATGAATTTCTAAACGGTCCTATTAAATAAAAAACACGGAGCCAGATATAGGGGTGAAAACCTGAGAAATCAGAGAAATAAGGAAATGCTAACCTCACCTCATCAACTCCGCAGCTTCCAAAGACAAGACTTCCTGTCTGCCCATACACATATGCCTTCCTGTTCTGCCATCCGATTTGCCCTCTCTGTCCAGCTACATCACTTCCTCTTCCTGTCCAGCTCTGTCACTTCCTGTCTGTCTGTACAGACCTCCAGACCTCCATGGTTAACTAGTGTTGGAATTTAAGGCTTGTACCACCACACCTGACTCTGTTTCCAGTGTGGCCTTGAACTCACAGAGATCCAGACAGATCCCTGCCTGCCAAGTGATAGGATTAAAGGTGTGTGCTACTGTTGCCTGATTTCTATATAGTGGTTGGCTTTTTCCTCTGATCTTCAGGTAAATTTTATTGGTTCACAGTATATTGGGGGACACAATACATCACGACAGTACTACACACTTGTGTGGTGCCCATGGAAGTCAGAAGAGGGTGTTGGATCTCCTGGAACTGGAGTTACAGATGGTTGTGAGCCGCCATGTGGGTTCTATGAGCCAAACCTGAGTCCTCTGGAAGAGCATCAGGTGCTCTTAACTGCTGAGCCATCTCTCCAGCCCCTGCATAGGTAAATATTTTGAAGAATATCCCAACACTAAACCCATGAGCATGCAGCTATGAAACAACGGCCCCTAAACTGACCTCTAGATGCCTTCCAGAGCAGGGCTACTCCAAAAAGTTTTCAGTGAGAATTGAAATGTACTGTGTCTATGCTGTCTACCATGTATCCAATGATTGCACAAGACATTTAAATGAACTTATAATCAAATTTCCTGATAGACCATCAAGGCTTGTCATAAGAGCAATAGTAGTAGAGACATTTGGTATTGATACAAAGATACACAGTCCAACTGACAGAATGGAATAGAGTTGGGAAATTAGTCCATTTAGACATGACCAGTTGTCTTGTGGCAACTCCAAGTGAGGATGTGATCTTTTAAATGAAACATACTAGAACAGTTGGCTATCCACACAAAGAAATGGTATGTGGGCACCTCCATATCTCACAATCTTAACCGGGTTTCAATTGCTGTGATGAAATGCCATCACCAAAAGTAGCTTGAGGAGTATCTTAGTGTTTCTACTACCGTGAAGAGACACCATGGCCATGGTGTCCTCTGTACACTGTGAATATATATTACTCTCATTGGTTAATAAAAAAACCGACTGGCCAGTAGCCAGGCAGGAAGTATAGATGGGAAAGTCAAACTCAGAATGCTGGGAGGAAGAAGGGCGGAGTCAGTGGAGTCACCAGGAAACACAAGGAGCAAGACAAGCTAGAGGACAGGTAAAGCCATGAGCCACATGGCAATATATAGATTAATAGAAATGGGTTAATTTAAGTTCTAAGAGCTAGTTAGTAATAAGCCTGAGCTATTGTCCAAACATTTGTAATTAATATAAGCTTCAGTGTGTTTATTTGGGAGCTGCTGGTGGGACAGAAACTTCCACCTACACCGTGGCTATTCTTACTAAGAAAAACATTCAACTGGGGTGGTTCACTTACAGTTCAGAGGTTTAGTCTATTATTGTCCTGGGAGGACACAGCAGCATTTAGGCAGACATGGTGCTGGAGAAGGAGCTGAGTATTCTTACATCTTGACCTGCAGGCAACAGGAGGTGGTCTGAGATACTGGGTGTGGCTTGTGTTGTAAAATGGCACACTGTGACCTTGGTGGGTTTGAGCCAAGGTACCCCGAGGCGGGTGAGGGAGACACACCATGCAGATGTGGTGGGTGTCTACATGGCACGGGGGCGGGGGGGGGGGGGGGAGTTACTCACACCATGCAGATATGACATCCACATGGAAAGTTTTATTATTAAAGGGGGAGAGGAGAAGGAAGAGAGAAAAAGAAGGAGAGAGAGAGAAAGAGAGGAAGAGGAGTTATGTGCAGCTTCATGAAAGGAGAGAGAGGGAGAGAGGAAGGAAGAGAGAGAGAAGGGTGAAGGGCTTTCTCTTAAAGGGGACTTTACATAAGAAGATGTCAGGATGCTGGGCGGGTACCCAAGGGGTGCGCCAGAACGCTAACATTCCCTAACAGCTAAGCATATAGGAGACCTCAAAGCCCAGCCCCACAGTGATACACTTTCTCCAACATGGCCACACCTATTCCAACAAAGCCACACCTCCTAATGGTGCCACTCCCTGTGAGCTTATGGGGCCCAATTACATTCAAAATGCCACGAGGAGGAAAGGGTTTATTTGGCTTACTTATCCCAAGTCATATTCCACTGAGCGAAGTCAAGACAAGAACTCAAACCAGGCAGGACCCTGGAGGCAGGAGCTAATGCAGAGGCCATAGAGGGGTACTGCTTACTGGCTTGCTCCTCGTGGCTTGCTCAGCCCGCTCTTATAGAACCCAGGACCATCAGTCCAGAAATTAAAGGTGTGCTCTACTATGCCTGTCTTATGAAGCATCTTGCATATTCAACAATTTGCCTGTCTTAGCACCTTTGTTTTCAATACTATTTTAATTACATTTGTTTATTCACTTATTTAGTTCATGTACACATGCATGCCTGTACATATGTGTGCTTGTACATGCATGTGTGCTATAGCATGAATGTGAAGGTCTGAGGAGGACACCTTCCAGGAGTTGGCTCTCTCCCTTTACCACATGGGGCCCCGGGATCCAACTCCGATTGTCGGGCTTGGCACCTGCTGAGCCCGCTCCTGGGCTATCTTTGGTGTTTTCAGATAGGTTCTCAGTCTGAAGCCCTCACTGCACCCCCTTCTGGCTTCAGATTTGAGATCCTCCGTCTTCAACCACCCAGCCCTAGGTTCCAAGCTTATACCACATCCATCTTATTAAAAGCATTACAGAGCCAGGCAAGACAGTCCACACTTGTCATTCCAGCACTCAGGAGGCAGATCTCTGAGTTCAAGGCCAACCTGGTCTACATAGTGAGTTCCAGGACAGTCAAGCCTGCACAGAGAAACAAAATAAAAACAACAACAACAACAACAACAACGAAATGCATGTGTTAAGTTGGATAGAGGAAAGGTTGGAAATATCATAAAGCCAGTTTCATAAACTATTAGCAACAGAATCTATATGGTAAGTTTAAGGGATTTAATTTTATAAAATTATTTAAAAATTGTTGAATATTCAAGATGCTTCATATTCAAATGCCAGGAAGATACCAAACATTCAGGAAAAAAATAGGGGAGTCACAAAAAAAAAATTAGCAGATGCTTCACGAAGCTATGTCTGAGTAGCTAATAAGCAGATGGAAAAAGTGCTCAATGGGCTAGCATGGTAGTAAATGTCTGTACAGAGAAGGATCCACATTCTCCATCAAGGCCAAGATCATCCAGCATGTGGGTAGATGGCTCAGCAGAAAGACCCTTGCTGCCAAGCCTGATGACCTGAATTCCACCCCCACAACCCGTAGGATAGAAGGATAGAGCCAACCCCCAGGGGTTGTCCTCTGACCTCTACATGTGCACCATGGGGCAACCTTTCCTCACCCCCCCCACAAGAAAATGTTGGGGTTTTTGTTTGTTTGTTTGTTTGTTTTTAAGTCATCCTCAGTTACATGATGCATTCCAGGCAAGTCTGGGCTATATTGGACATTGTCTCAGAATAAAAACAAACAAAATATGAAATCACTCTACTTAATTATCACAGAGATGAAAATCAAAAAAAAAAAATAGGCAACTCAATTATCACCCACCAAAATGGAAAAAAAAAGTGTTGATGGGAATGTTGAACTTCAACTCCTATATGTTGCTGATGGGAGTGTAAATTAAAGCAAACACTTCAGAAAACTTAAAAAAAAAAATCCAGTAAATCTGAACATGGCCATATCCTTGATCCAAGACTTCTGTTTTTTGCATATGACCAAGAGATACACTTACCGTGTATCATACTCAAAGGATGTCATTGTTATGGCCACAGAAGCAATATTTTATTTTAATAGTTTCAAAATGTAGATGACTCCAGTGGTCATCAACATTTGTCTGGATACATTTTATTGCATTCACACAATGGAATGCAACACATCCTCATAAACAAACTGCGAAAAATATGGGCGAACCTCACAACAGCAAGTTAAAGAAACCAGAAACAAAATACATGTTGACATGTCTGGACCTGTGTAAACACAAAGCTAATTCTCTACCAGAAGATAGGGTATGGTCCCCCTGGGTGGAGGAGAGTGATTAAGTGTCTGAGGGGAAACATTCCAGGATGCTGGTTATGTTTATGCCTGAGTGTGATTTGTTAGTGAAATTTCGACAAACTGCATAAATTTTCCGTGTATTTACTTGTCGTCTGTTATAGTGGAATAAAAAGTGTCTGCCAGAGCCTCTAAGCAACAAGGGATCACAGGATTTGACATTTGACAGACTCGGGTCGGATTTGAGAGACATGATCAGATTTGCATTAGGGAGAGATAAGTACAGGATCTGCAGGAGAGAGGCCTTACCAAACTGCTTGCAGGAGTAATCCTGGCTGGATGTAAAGCAAGCGCGACCCGGAAGAAAAGATTACCGTGGATGGAGAGACAGCAGGCATGATGGGACTTGCCTTCCTGTCTCCGAGTTCTTTCTTGAACAATGTTTATAACTGTCGATTGGGTGCTACTTTAATGATTTAATATTTAGTTGTAATTGCCATATTCCTCCCGCCCGCGAGATCAATGCCTCTTGCATAACTATACAGAAGGAAATGTAAGTGTAGAGCTAAGACGGCTTCAAAAGAAATGGGTTGACAAGGTCTAGGCGACTCATCTTCCTCCAAGTACAGGTAAAACCACCATCTGCTTGGGACTGGGTGATGGTGGGACACAGGACGTTAGGCCGACGGTAGGAAAGAGACAACAGGACCCGTCAGATCGGCGTGAAACGGGTCCGGGAAACGGGACGCCTCTGTACCCTGAATTCCAATAGCAAGCTCAGGCTACGGTTATTTCCTTCTCCGGATGTCAGCAGAGGGCCCGAACTCTGGCGAGGCGGGGATTCAGGCAGAAGGGGTGGAGTTGGGGCTTGGGCTTAACCTATTACATGCAAGCAGAGCCACCCACCGGTGATTGGCAGACGTGTCTACCAGTGTTTTCGCGTCCCGCGAACCTAGCTGCTTTCGTCAGGTCCCCGGGGTGTTTCACTTTGAGTCACTGGGGTTAACCAACCGCTCCCAGCTAGGGGACCTACGGGTACTGCCATCTACCCCTGCCGTGCAAAGGGAGCTTCTTTGGTCCCATTGGAGTATTCTTTAGTGCCTGAGGCAGAGCTTGGTACCCTGGGTAAGGGAGTTAACTGCTCCCGCTGTTCCCACTCATTCTCTAGCTCATGATTTTTTTTTTCTTAAGTGGGATAAGGCGACATTTATAGTTTGAAGTGCCTTTCCCCCCGTGCAAACACTTATCGCAGTCCTTATCCCCTCCCTCAAAGGCAAAGCGACCCCTCCAGTAAAGGACTATCAGCGCAGATCACATTCCTTCACTTAGCAAGTAACTTCAAATTATCTTATATTTAATATTGCAAACCTTGAGTGAGAAGGTTCATAAAACATGAAAAGTGTTTCGAAGTGCTTATGCATTCCTGGTGAGAAAGTGGGGTAGTGGCCGGTTTGGTTTCAGCACCCACATGGCAGCCTCCAACTGTCTGGTTCCAGGAGACCCAGTGCCCTCGGGCAAGCATGAAGTACGTGCAGAGAAATCCCTCATACAATAAAAATAACTCTGCAGACTTTGACCTGGAAAAGTATGTAAAACGTTCAGAGCTTACAAAATGCTCTTTTTCAGTGTTACATTCAACTCCAAATAAATGTATGTGGTATTTGCAGCGTGGGTTCCAAAGCACAAGAATTCTAGATGCCCAGCCCCAGGTAGTGCATTATTCAGACTGGAGACATCAGCATCCACTTTGTTAGGTACTTGAAAATTGATCATATTGATTCCCCCCCCACCCCCACCCCCGTACCCATAGAAAAACGGTTAGCTTCAAACTAGCTCCTTCTTTTGTTTTCTTTTTCTTTTTTTTTCCGAGACAGAGTTTCTCAAGTAACAGCTCTAGCTGCCCTGGAACTACTACTAGCCTTGTAGACCAGGCTGGCCTCAAACTCAGAGATCTTCCTGCCTCTGCCTCCCAGGTGCAAAGATTAAAGTTGTGAGCTACCACAACCAGCTCAAACTAACTGAAACAGCTCACGGGCAGTTTTCAGGACACATTTTTTTTGCTTTAGATTCTGTGTGGAGGTGTGTGGTGCTGTCTGCCATAATGTGGCACTTCAAATATCACCCCCATTTCCTCAACAATTGGAGAAACATAAATTTACCCTTAATAGGTGGAAAAAAATGAAGGTTGAGGTGGTATAATGCCTAAACCATCAATTCTCCACAGATAATTTGTACTTTTCTTCTTTAATACTTCATGAGTAGCTTGTGAAATTAACCATAGTAGCTATTGCTGGTATTGGTCGTAACTTGGTTCATCTAACATCAGTTCTCAACCTGTGGGTCTTGACCCTTTTGTGTATGTATGTGTGAGGGGGGATGCCACATATCAGAAACTCATATTGTGATTCATAACAGTATCAAAATCATAAGTTATGAGGTAGCAACAAAAGTAATTTTGTGGTTGGGGGTCACCACAGCATGAGGAACTGTATTTAAGGTTCATAGTGTTAGGGAGGCTGAGATCCACTGACAGCGCTAAGTTATCCAATAACTGTTACATCTGAAGAGACCTCATCCAGTCAGCTACAGAATCCATGAAGTGACTGGGGGCCAGAAATCTGAGGTGTACCAACGGCCAATTATGAGAAAAGGAGCGGCAAAGTTAACTCACTCTGAAAGAAAACTTGCACACAAAACTCCTGCAGACCTTCTCAGTGTTACCTTTGTGGATCTTGCCGAGGCCAAAGCAAATTGAACAAGAACCTGTAGTTTGGGTATACATTCAGGGTACAGAGGTGTTCCCGTTGGCCTTGGGGAAATGTCAGCATGTGATACAGGCTGAACGTCTCTAAACATCTTCCACTGCCTTCATGGGTGAATCATGCAGCCTCTGAAAGTGGAGTGTGGTAATACATGGAGTTGTTAACCCAGGGCCCAGCAAGCCAGCTCTGGGTGAAGAACTACTAAGTCTGAGAGCACACAGGGCTCAAATGTTCAAGGTGAGTGCAAACTCTCGGACACCTGCAAACTGTAAACTGTCAACGCAAAGCTAGAGGCCAGCGTGATTCTCTATGGAAATGTCTCTGAAGGAAGAATGACTGGTCCTAACAGGCAGAAATACTAAGACTGCAATGAGAAATTTTGTAGTGGGGAGGTGGCGGTGCACGCCTTTAATCCCAGCACTTGACAGGCAGAGGGCAGGTGGATCTCTGAGTTCAAGGCCAGAGAAATCCTGTCTCAAAAACCAAAAGAAACCAAAAAAAATTTTTTTTCATTTGGGAGTCTTTTTATTTTTGGTTATTTTTTATTTATCTATTTATTTATTTTTTATTTTTTGGTTTTTCAAGACAGGGTTTCTCTGTAGTTTTGGAGCCTGTCCTGGACTAGCTCTGTAGACCAGGCTGGCCTTGAACTCACAGAGATCCGCCTGCCTCTGCCTCCCGAGTGCTGGGATTACAGGCGTGAGCCACCACCACCTGGCTATTTTTAGTTTTAAGAGACAGACAGGGTTTCTCAGTGTAGCCTTGGCTGTCCTGGAACTCACTCTGTAGACCAGGCTGGCCTTGAACTCACACGAGATCTGCAAAGGTGTGTGCCACCACCGCTCGGCTTGTTTTGGAGTCTTATCAGCAGGAAATAGAAGCACCAGGAGTGCCGTTGCACGCTTTTAATCCAAGGCAGTCGAGTCTCTTGAGTTTGAGGCCAGCCTAGTCTACATTGAGTTCTAGGTCAACCAGGACTAGAGAGTCTGTCTCAAAAAAAAAAAGAAGAGAAAAAAGAGAGGAGGAGGGAGGAGAATGAGGAGTGTTGGGCAGTTAAAAATCGCTTTCTTCCTTTATCCTCAATCCCTGTAAAAATTTATAACTTGACTATTTTGTATTCTGTATATATCTTAAATTTCTAATTTAAATGGACTCAACAAGTACATACTCAGAAACCAACAAGTCTCTGCCTGTTTCCTTCCTGTCTCTTTGTGTGGCCTCCTGTTTGTAACATTGCAACCTAAACACAGAAATTACAGCACAAAAGCCCACATGAGGTACTTTGGGTATATTTTTTTAATTTTTAGAGTTTGAGTCTGGAGCTTGCCCGGTACCCAGAGGTCCTAAGTGCCAGACCCACTAGAACTGGAGTTGGTTGTGAGCCTCCACATGGTTGATGGGAACCAAACCCAGACGCTCTGCAACAGCAACACGTTTGTTGTCTCAACTGGTGAGCCAGCTCTCCAGCCTGCCTTGCTGCTTTCAAAACTGTTTTCAGAGCTTCCCAGGATTCCAGTTCAAACCGGTGTTAAAGACAAAGTCTACCAAATGACCTAATTTTGCTTCTGAGACAGTCAAAACTACATAGCCTGTATATAGAGGGCAAAAATGGTCTATTGTTTTCAGTAAAATTCTTACATGTGGCTACCGAGCACTTGACAATGTGGCCAGTATGACTGTAGCTAACTGCTGAGTTTTATCTAGTTGGGTCACAGAAGTGCTTTTATTTAACATTAAAGCTATTGTGTAAAACAGAAACAACTGGTATTTAAAACACAAACTGTAACTGTTACTGATAATTTTATACATTGTATCTTGATGCCAGCTTCCTCTACGAGACCTTACTTGAAAAATAAGAGCCTGCCATGCAGCCTAATGACAAGTTAGATCCCTGGAAACATGTAAAAAGGTGCATGTGTTGGTACATGTCTGGTGTCTCACACACACAGACCCTGCCCAGCAGAATGGAAATCAAGGGTTCAAGTTTCAAACCTGCAACAAAAGGTTGAGGTACCTACTCATCAAAGAGGACCTGACTGCCAAGTTCTCCCAGCATCCCTCAGTCCCTGTTACAGGGTATGGTTGGCATACCCCACCCTCTAACCTGAAGTCTCCAGCCCAGGTGCTGGGCTGCCCTTCCTCCACAAGTTGTTACCCACCCTTTGGCCTCTTGAGTGCTGGACCGGGTTCCCTGGTTCCCCTCTCCCCCCACCTCAGTCTGGTTATGTCCTTTGGGTTCAGACAGATGACTCTGCCTCTACCCATGGTTTCTCTTTTATCTACTTAAGTTTCTCTTCTAACGTACCTAGGAGCAGTCATACCCTTTCCTTTTTATTTCTTTTCATTCAATATATAAGAAATTATGTTTGGAAAAGCCAAAACAACCCCACAGCTAAAGGTACCCGGCACCAAGCCTGACTGACACCCCAAGTTTGATCCTAGGGATCCACACAGTAGAACAGACTACCCCAAGTTGTCCTGACACCCACGTGTTCCAGTGCAAAGACTCAAACACATATGATTAGTTAAAAAAAGAAAAAGACCATTATGGGATTGACACAGGAAAAGCTTTTATTTAAGATTCTGGAAAATGAGTGATATGCAGCAATATACAGGCTAATAACATCTTGACTGCAGGCTCATGACTAGGCCCTAGCAAAGAACTTGTCCTAGCATGCAAGGGGGATACAAGAACCACCCCCTATACCAACACATTCTAATGATCTAGCAAATCTCCCTTTTGGTTGCACCTTGGCAGAAGTGGGACACTCTGAGTTCTAGGGCAGCCAGGCATAGAGAAACATCAATCGAACCACCACCTAACATATTGATAATTTGGGGGAAACTACCTTCAGTGCAATCAATTACTACAAGACTACTCAGGGATCCTCTCACAGGGCCCTCATTCTCTATCTGTAAAATGGGACTTCAGCACCTATCTCAGCAACAAAGTGAGAATGAATCTGTTACCACGCCCTAATACCAAGGCGGGACACGGGCCAGCCTACTTCACCTTGGAGGCATTACCCCCTTGGAGCCGGCTTCAAGGCATTCTGCTCACTGGTTTCTTTCTTGTAGTTTTCAGCCTGTAAAAAAATGAATGAAAATGTTTCAGGTAAGTGGAAAATACTAAAATATGTTCTTTTCGGCTGATCTCAAACTTCATTTCTAGGCAAGTAAATGTACTCTTCTGGACTTTTCTCTCGATCAAATTAAACTAAGCAGCCCAGTTCTTTTTTAATTCTAATTCACTACTTCATAATCCCCAGAAGCCACGTTAATTCTTCTGATTCATCTGTGACTCCAGACAGGATCCAAAGAGAAGGCGTACAATCTCCTCCATGGGTTTTATGGAGAGTTCCTTTACCCTTCTGTGTTAGCCTCTTAAAGTACCGCGACAACCTTAAAAGGGCACAGGAAAGGGCGATTCGGGAGGACCTAAGCAGCTCAACAAACACGGGCCGGGGACACTCGGTCGCCTGGGCCACGTGGCCTGGGCCTTCTTTCGACCGATGCCGGGACGTACCTGCGCCTGGGTCCGAGGAGGCCGCACGACTGAGCCCTGGGGATCGGCTCCGGAAGGTCGGTCTGCGGAGAAAAAAAGGGCGGTGGTGAGGGCGCCCGGGCAGGACAGCGCAGGGGGCATTGTGTCTCGCGCGGCCCCGGGCTGGGCACGGCCGCCCGCCCCCCGGGCCACCGAGGACTGCTCTACCCCTACGTTCTGGCCGCCGGGAGCAGCTGAGCTCGGGGCGGGCAAAGCTCGAGGGGACACGTGCCGATCTTCCCGCAGGACACCCTCCCAGAGGACACTCACCACCGAGCCGGGGACAGAAAGACCGAGCTGCAGCACTCTGCGCTGATACCAGCGCCGGGGAGTGGGGCGGGGCTGGCCAGAAAGCCGCAGCCAATCAGCGGGCCTTTCGGAGGGGGCAGGACAGGAAAGAGAGCAGCCAATCCTCAGAAAGACTGTGGGCGGGCATGGTAGGGCAGTCCATCGCCGGGACCGCGGGGCCACTGGCTGCCGGCGGCAGGTCCTCCACCCATTGCCATGTTGCTGGTGACCCTGTACTTAAGCCTGGTCCTCCTCGCGGGGCCTCTGGTGGTCTCCCGAGTGAACCCAAGTTCTTCGAGGTTGCTCCAGGTCAAGAACATTCCTTTCCTAAAGCTATGCCGGTGCTCGATGTGTTCCGACTTAGAACTAGTCTTGTTCAGCTAGTTCACTCCCAGGGCCCTCCCTAGCCTGGAAGGACCAGCCTTTTTCCGTGTTCATTTTCTGTGTTCATGGAAAATAATCATCCAGAAGTAGGATTTGGGGGTTGGGGGGAGAGGTGAGGTGGGCTACCATCAGTGTACTCAAGATGACGGACTTGAACATGGCCAACAGTAGATGAACGGAGTAAAATAGGAGTATTGCTAAAATGATAAGTCATTTTCCACCTGCTGCCCAATCTGTTTGCAAGTTAAAAATCTCACAATTCTCTTTTTAACCATCCTCAAGGTGTAGATGGACACGGGGACGTGTTGAGCGACTTACTCGGGCCAGAGAGCAGCCTAGCAAGGGTGATTCTGGGATTTGAACTCAGAATGAGTCGCTATTTGGAGATAGGCTCCTCTATAGAGAAGAAGATAGAGAGGTTGAAAGAACAGCTTGCTCTTAGCTCAGAGGTAGAAAGGAAAGTGCATGCCAACTTGAGGGCCCCAGAGGGTAAATGGAACTGAAAGATACAGGAGCAGTGTGGCTTGGGATGAGTGAGTGCCTGTGGTCAAGGCATTCCGAGGGCCCCGTTGGCTTCAATTTTTACCAAGAATAATTAAAAAGCGGCACCAGTGTTTCTGCCCAGGAGAATGGTAGGATCTGGTGTTGGTTGTGGTTAAGGTTTGACTAAGGTGATTTGGGTAGAAGAAGAAGCTGAACCAATTTTAGGAATATTAGCAGCCAGTCACGACCATGTTGAAATGACAGAACACCAGTGTATTTGGACAACTGGGAGATATTACTTTTGTTTAACTGTGGCAATTGGAGCCCAGCTGCAAACGAAGGCTCTCGGAACTGATAAATAAATCTTAGGACGCTAATTCAGTCATTCAGTGGCAACCTGGAAGGATGCATGGTAGGGTGATGCTGCCCAGCTGGAGCCTGACCTCAGTGCTCTGAGCACATTTCATTGGCTAAGCTAGGATCGTAGGTGTGCTAAATGTGTTTTCAATACTAGGTGGATCCGTAGTTGTCCAGAGGGACAATAAGAACAGATTCAGATTTGACTAGTGTTTCAGAAGGAGATAGGAAAGTAAAGGGAGAGGCTGGTTCGATGGTTAAGAGCATTGACTCTTCTTCCAGAGGACCCAGATTCTGATCCCAGCACCCACATGGTGCTTCATAAGCATCTATAACTCCAGTTCCAGGGGATCCAATGCTCTCTTCTGGCCTGTGAGGACACCAGGCACACAGGTGGTGCACAGACATACACCCATACACATTAAAATAATTAAATGAATAAATTTTTTTAAAAAGAGAAAAGAGGGCTGGAGAGATGGCTCAGCGGTTAAGAGCACTGACTGCTTGTCTAAAGGACCCTGGTTCAATTCCCAGCACCAATATGGCAGCTCACAACTGTCTGTCATTCTAAGATCTGACACCCTCACACAGACATACATGCAGGCAAGACACCAATGCACATTAAAAAAAAATAAGTAAAAAGGGGAAAGATGAAAAATAAATTAGTGTATGTATGTGTGTATGTATATATGTGTGTATGTGTATTCAGCAGAACTTTAAGGCAAATCAATCTAAAAGGAATATAAAGTAAAATTATGTTCTAAAAGCAACACATCACCATAGAACATCTCCCACAACAAAATGTTTAACACAGAGCTCTAGGCAGGAGTTATAGCCGGACTTCCAGGCAGAGAGAGGAAGTAGAAGGAGATAATCGAATGCCAAAGAGACATGGAAGGAGTCAAACATACAGAATGAAAGAAAGGTAAAAAGCCACATGGTAAAACATAGATGGATAGAAATGGGTTAATTTAAGCTATAAGAGCTAGTTAGGAATATGCCTAAGCTATGGACTGAGCTTTCATAATAAGTCTCCATGTCATTATTTGTGAGTTGGCAGCCCAAAGGAAAATTCGATTATATATGGTGTCCAATGTGGAGGCTCAAATATCCAAACATAGAGCCTGAGAAACCTAAGAAAAGTTCTGGACAAGGAGCTGAATGAGGCTTCCTAGTCCTGCAGTCTCTTAGGCAGGCTGGTGTTCTGAGACTGGATGAGACATGATTAATCTTATTGGCTACAAAATCCTCATGACAGCCGGGCGGTGGTGGCGCACGCCTTTAATCCCAGCACTCGGGAGGCAGAGCCAGGCGGATCTCTGTGAGTTCGAGGCCAGCCTGGTCTACCAAGTGAGTTCCAGGAAAGGCGCAAAGCTACACAGAGAAACCCTGTCTCGAAAAACCAAAAAAAAAAAAAAAAAAAAAAAAAAAAAATCCTCATGACTTATTACTACATGCCATTCTTTCATAGGACATGGGTACAGGTTTGGTTACACAGTCCAAATGGGCTTATAAGATTGACAGATGCCTTTTACCTGCTCAAACATAGAACCAATGTGCACACTGCACATTCCATACTTGTGTTAATGCAGATATATATTTTACCTTTAAAAGTTGGTGTGTTTTCAGAAAAAAAAGGACCAGACACCAATAAAGATGAGTATCCCAGGTGATCCAGCCTTTCAGAATGCCTAAGTTGCAGTCCCTCAAAATTCTGCATCCAGAACAACTTCAAAGCTGCTAGCTGAGATGGTCCAGCCTCACAGACTATTCAGTCAGAACTTCAGATAAGCCTTGCACTTTCCCACCACACCAAACTGGACATCAGCTAGCTCTCCCAGGATTTGACATTATCTGAATTTTCTCAGGGTCCCCTAAAGATGCTGTCACCCCCAGACAACAGGAAGCAGTCTGGGGAACATGATGCCCATATTCCCAAGAGGTGGGTTGGGTGGTTTTGGTCATCTGGTGGGTTATGGATGTTTGTCATCATTTAGTGGAGTTGGTTACAAGTTGTTATTTGTCATGGTCAGGAAGAAAGCTAATCAAAGGAGATTAGATTTAGGGATCTCTTTCTGAAAGGAAAAAGGGGGAATAGTGTATAGAAATGATGGGATAAAAGGGTGGATTGTTGAGTCTACTTTTGAACTAAAAAACAACTACTAATCTCAAATATTTTACATTGGTATGGATTTTTGTATGTTGATACAAATTTAAAGGTATTTTTGTTATACTAATATATGTTTCTACTCTTGTTTAAGATATTGTACCTATGCAGCTCATTTAAAATGTATAAATAAAAAACACAGGTTATTAGTTAGTCATCTATAATAATCAAACTTATAGTCATGTTAGGTATGTTTTCAAGATCAAACAGATATATTTTAAAATATATCTTAAATTTTAGATATCTTACATAGTTTTCAAGCACTTCAAAGACCTACAGAATATGGCATTTAAAAATTTTTAATAACATAAGGCTTTTCATGGCAATGAGACACGTCTACTCCTGGCAGCACCAATTTACTTCAAAAAAGGATGATGGGCATCAAAGAACCTCCATATGGAGTTTGCTTTCACTGTGGCAAAGCTAGCCATTTGGCAAGAAACTGCCTTTGCCTCCACTGCTGACAGTATGCTGTCCAAATTGGACAAGCAGGGCACAAAAGAAAGTGACTGCTGAACTTTGCCAAGACAAGGTAGGACAGTCCTTCAAAATTCCTGCTTCACAGAAATGTCTGTCAGATATGCTAGGCCTGTAGGCAGAAGATAGATGCCCCAATACTACAGAGGAATCTTAGGTGACTGTCCAGGAAGCCAGCTGTTTCTGTCATTTCTATAGTTTTGTAACTTGCTTGCTATGCACTTCCTGTTTACTCAGGTAATAGTATATCCTTCTCAGGTCTATTATGGGATTGAAGACCAGATAGTGATAGTTACCGTTTTCCTTGTTACCAAATTCAGAAAAGAAACTTATATAAGATATATAAGGTTTATAAGGTTGAGAAACATAAAAGCTTAAGTTGTTTATCTAAAGGGATGTTTTAAGATCTAAAAAGATATTTTTAGGATGGTAATACAAGTTATGATAAAGAATAGCTTAGGTATAAAACTTTAGATTCATCAAGATAGGAAAAAAAATACAATACTTTCTCTGAATTTGCCAAATATAAATGGACTGGATATTGTAAATATAATAATTCTTACCTGATAATTCTTCTTCTTCTTCTTCTTTTTTTTTTTTGGTTTTTGAAACAGGGTTCTCTGTGTAGCTTTTGGAGCCTGTCCTGGAACTCGTTATGTAGACCAGGCTTGCCTCAAACTCACAGAGATCTGCCTGCCTCTGCCTCCTCAGTGCTGGAATTAAAGGCATGCAGCACCACTACCTAGCCTGATAATTGTTCTGATTGTATATAGTTTTACTATGTTAGAGTTAAAACTTTTCCTTTTTATTTAGACAAAAAGGGGGAAATGTTGTGGGATATTTTTATACTGTGTGAAGATGTATTTCTGTGATTGGTTTAATAAAAAGCTTGTGTAGTCAGGTATGCTTCCAACTTGTTATCTTCTTTAGCTCTGAGTGCTAGGATTACAGGCATGTGTACCACTCTACACCCAGGTATTCTTTCTTTCTTTCTTTTTTTGGTTTTTGGGTTTTGGGCCTGGTCTCCCTAGTGCTCCACACCTTGCAAATCCTCTATTACTTTGAAACAGTGTCGCACTAAGTTACCCAGGCAGACCATGAACTGACTATAGCCCAGGCAAGGCTGGAACTTTCCATCCTCTTGCCTCAGTCTCCTGAATAGAAAGGACTACACCCCTGAACCACCATCCCTGGCTGTGTGCTTAACTTATTTAAATTTCCAGGGTGTGAGATGATTTTGCAAGTTTTCTATTAATAATAAAATGCATTTTTAGAAATTTTGGAAGAAAGAAAATTTCCAAACATGCACAAAAAAATAGAGTTCAAGGAGCCACACTTGTGCATTCTTCTCCCAGCAAACAACTGTTCACCCAGACCACTTGCTTTGCATACTCATTCTAGCTATCATCTTTTTTTTAAATCCAAGTATTTAAAAAAAATCACAAGCCTCATTTATTCTTCCTCTAAATAAAAACTTCAGTATTTATTTTGAAAGAAAAGACGGAATTATGATTGAGTACAATGCCAGTGTAATTGCTCGAACAAACAATGGCTCTATTGTCATACAACGTTACTTTACAGTGTGTTCCTTTCAATAAGGACCTAAACAAGGTCTCTTCATTATGCCGTGTTTCTTTTAAGGCTCTTTCAGTTTAGAAGAAACAATGAGCTACTTTGTAATGTCTCTGACTTTTTAGATAACTTTTTAAGGTTGAATGCAAGTGTTCTAAGTCACCCTTTTAAGTGAACAAATCAGTATTTTTAATATTCCTCTAAGTTTTATAATCATCACCATCATCTACTCCCAGATCATTTGCACAGTCAGTGTTTTAGTGGAAAAACAAGCCCCATGGCAGCTGGAGAGATGGCTCAGCAGATAAGCACACTTGCTCCTCTTGCGGGGGACCTGAGTTCAGTTCCCAGCACCCGCTTCAGGTGGCTTGTGACTGCCTGTAACTCCAGGTCCAGAGGATCTGAAGTCCTTCTCTGGCTTCTCTGGACACCCACAAGTTCACACACAGATTCACACGTACACACATAAAAATAAATAATCAATAAAATTAAAAAAAACCCCAAACTTCCCTAGTCCTTAGAAAACATTCTCTGTTATGGATTTTTCTTTTCTATATTTTTCATAGAAATGGAATCACACATGTGGTCTTTTTTCAAACTAGACTTTCTTCATTTATACTTGTTTTCAAGCTTTCTCCATGTTATATCGTGAATCACACATCAGTTTAGTTTATGGTTGACCAATAATTGCCGTATAAGGAACAACATTTTGTTTAGCCATCCATCAGGTTCTGTGTAGTCTGTTTCCTGCACCCTGCAGTCTTGACAGACCTTGAATTCCTTGTGTGTAGCCACAGCTAGCCTTGACCTCCTGATCTTTCTTTCAGGGATTACAGACAGGCATGGGCCACCACACTCTACTAGTTTCTACCTCTAGAGACCAGGCCACTGTCCTGAGGTTTTCTGCTTGAAGGGTTTGATGGATTGTTTATTTCTCACGTTATTATTTCTGTTTTTCTCATAAACTTGAGAGAAATTTCATGTTTTTGAAGGTTTGACTGTCAAACTTTAGTGCATGAAATAAATCCACTGGTCTGCTTGCTAGAGATACAGAGTACCAGGCCATATTACATGAGAATCATTTAAAAAAATAGATTTATTTTATTTTATGTATGTGAGCATTTTGTCTGCATGGATGTCTGTGTACCATGAGTTTGCCTGGTGGCTGAGGAGATCAGAGAGGGTATCAGATTACCATATGGGTGCTGCATGGAGCTTTGAGTTTTCTGGAAGAGCAGCCAGTGCTCTTAAGTGCTGACCCATTTCTCCAGTCCTAGAGAATGATTCTAAATGCTCTATGGTGGAGGCTGGGACTCTGTATGTTTAACACATCAATTGCTCTGTTCTCAGATACTGAACATAATTTAGACACATATATGTAAGAATACTATATAAAAAATCCTAAGTGTCCCTAAATCTTGATTTTAGCAACACTTAGCATTACACAGGAAATGCCATAAAAACATCTGTCAGGTTCCCTAATATGTTTAAAACATAAATTTTCAAACATCACTTTTAGGATTACTAAAAAGGGCGTGAACTCTGGGGTGAAGCTGGACAATTGACAGAATGAGGGCCATTATATGGAGAATTATGTGTGGTGTTTATTAACCTCCCCACCCTGAGCCAAGTTTAGCTTTATAGGTGATGAAAGCCAGGTGCCTCTAATAACTAATTTATTGTACAGGTCTTTACAGTATTGACCTCCAGATTTGCAAATGCACTCCAATTAATTAATTAGATAGGGGAAATTGATTTTATGGGGAGAGACAGAGAGAGAGAGAAAGAGAGAGAGAGAGAGAGAGAGAGAGAGAGAGAGAGAGAGAATGCTACAGTGTTCTTGTGGAGGTCAGAGGGGCAACTCTTGGGAGTTGGTTCTCTTCCACTTTAGGATCCAGGGATCCAACTCAGGTCACCAGGCTTGGCAAAAAGAGCTTCTACCTGCTGAGCCTTTTCTCCAGCCCAAATATTGAGAAACTGAAATTATGAATCCAATACCACTTTCTTTAATTTGACCCAGAGCAGCTGAAGTTGTGACTGTTGTAAGGTGGCTATCATTTTACTCTAGAAGTAGGCCATAACCAAGGGCAACCACCACTGCTC